TAGTTTTTTTTGTCAAGGTGTATCAAGTTACTGAGAATTGTAGCACTTGAGTTATGATACCCAGCGCGCACATAGAGATGAAACGCGCACGATGGCGCCGGGTGTAGCACGTTATCTGGAGATCTGGAGAGAGAGAGAGAGAGCTCATCGAATTCCTTCCTCTGCGAATTTCTTGCTATATTTCGAATAATGCTACGTAGGTATATTTATTAAAGCATGCTACTCATATACATTGAGACCCCATCAAGCCCTATTCATAATTAACTGGCCAAATATTACGTCCAGCTGATCAGATAAATTTCCAGACATGATTTGTACGTGTGAGATTTTGTTACTGCCGCTTGTTGAACTCGCGAGTTGTAAAACCTGCGTCGTTGCTGTGAAGTCCCTGAGTCACCCAGACTGGGTGACTCTCAACAAATCGCAGCTACATGCTGCAGGCAGATTCTCATACATGTATGCTCAAAACTGTGTAAGGGAGTGTACCTGCAGGGTACATGGACATGGGTACGCCTGTTGAATGGCTCCCAAAACATGCGACGTGTGCAATACTAGCGTTTGTAAGTGTACGATTGATGGAAGATCAGCACCAACAAAGAAATACAGCACAAATTTCGAGATGCCATGTATTCTTGACTGACTAATCTAATCGAGACTACATGATACTTCTATAGTGCTTCTCTGCCGGTAATTATTTTAAAAAAAATGGCTGTTAAACGTGGACGAAATAGTAAGTGGCTGGTGACGAAGCGTTCGCGCTGCGCCAAGTACTGTTCACCAACGTGTGCTAAGTGCACGGTGATTCCCATCGCATGCCCGGTGCAGCTCGTAACCACCACCCTTACCATCCGAGTGTTTGACCATCACGGTCACCATGTGGGGGAAACGCTTGAAGCCGTTTCAGAGTGGAGGATAAAGGGAGGCAAGAGGCAGCATGTCTGGGCCCAAGCTGCACCACCATGACATCTTTTCAAGCACTATCCAGACAGGCAAAGGCCTCCGCTATGAAGGCCAGAGCTGCGCATGCACCACTGCTCTCAGCAAAGCTTGAAGTGTGGACCACACTTCGTACGTCACATCACAGCAGCGGCGGTACGACTAGGCGAAAGTCTCCGCTTGGCGTCGCGTCTGTCTGCTTCGATGCCCTGCAGGCTGCAGCGGACGATCGCACCGAAGACGCATCGACTGAAGCTTCGTACCATTGCACGGCAGCACCGGATGATCAAGCCATGGAGGCGAGGATCGGAATAGTGCGGAGACTCAAAGACATTTCGAGGAGAGAAGTTCTGTCCACTAGTAGATACTTGTGGAGAAGTGCCAGAAGACCACCACCACCACTGGCATGACATGGCTATTGGAAAACCAACACAGTCTATCCTCCTGTCTCAACACCATTCTTAAGCTTGTAGTTAGCCATTAATGCCTTAGAATGGAGGTTGTTCCTCAGCGTCGATATAGCCACAAATGCCTTGTGTACTGGGATGGAGTTGAAAAAGAGGAGGAAACACAATGAGCTTCACAGTTTCCTTGCATATATCAATTGAATAAAATTGGTGACGGAAGTGCGCCTTAGTGTCTGTGCAATGTGGAGCGTGGACACGTGCTAACCACGCTCATTGCCGTCAATCCCCTATGTGCCTGACAGTTAATTATTGTCTTTCAGCTCAGAGCACCAACGCGGTCGTAGAGTATCCAGTATACATGTCATCTCGAATAACTTAAAGCCCCTGCCACGTCAAAACACACCACCTTGGGGGGACGATAGAGGTCACATGAAGCTCGGCTCGCAACACGATCCAGCTACACGTAGTTGACCGGGATCATTCGTGGTCGCCGCAAATAGACGGCGCACGGATGCTCTAGGGTGGCCTGGTCGGCGCTGCGCTTGCGAGATTGCTCCTTGCAGCCTTCCTCATCTTCATCCCCCTCCTCCTCCTCGGCCTCGTCGCAGTCGCTGTCCTCCCAGCTTGTTTTCGACCGGCGACGCGAACCCAAAATGATGTTGGTCTCCCGAGCGTGGCGCGTGATGATGCCATCCGGGATGCCGGCGGCCTGCAGCAGGCGGATGCGTTGGCTGGGCGTGAAGCGATGCAGACCCTCAGCGCGCTCGGCCATCTCACCTACTCGCGTTGTCCACGTAAACTCGGGCGGATCTGCGAGACCGATGGACGGGCCGCCCTTGTTCGACACGGCGCTGCCGCCCAATCCCACACCAAACTCGTGCACGGTTATGGTGGACCACCTCACGCACTTCTTGGCCTTCACCATTGTCGCTGACTTTTGGTCATCGCAGTACTTAGTGTCATGGTGTGGGTCAGTGCAGGTGGGCTCGGGCTCCTCAGCCATGGCGTGGTCGCGGCAGCAAGATGGGAGTATAGCACCGGTATGATGGTCGTTCGCTGCTATTGTGCTAGTATGCTCCGTTTTCGCATGGTGACAGAGGCCACCACTGCCAGTTCGCGGTGCGCAGCTCGGAGAACTCATTTGCTCGCTGGTCGATACTGCTGCTGCTGTCGGTGCTGGAATGGCGGAATGAGGTGACTGTCGTTTGAGATGTGGACCGCCCGGCCTCCACGAAAGGCTCTCAAATATTATTTGCGTCCGCTGTTCGTCCGCTCAGTCCGCCATTGGTCCACTAGCTGTGGCGCTTAGGTGCGAGTTCGGTGGTGCTAGCCTGCCGTTTGTCAGCCGGTATGGTGGAAGGAAGACGAACGGGTGCGCAAGCCAGAAGCTTCTGATACCGACCCGACTGTCGCAGAGACGTCGCGAATCAATACGCAGAATTTCAGCAGAAACACGCATACCAAGGTTGAGGCGACACCAAAGAGGACGCCTGCAGTCAAAACCAACAGGAACAAGAAAGCTAGCGACAATATGCAGCCTGGTGGCGGCGGCGGCATAACATTCACCTCAGCTCTGCTCACCATCGAGTGACGTGCCTTTCTTCTGCCTGCCATATTCAATAGCCTCGTCATCTCCCTACGAGATTCGATATCCGAGCAAACGGCTACATCCGGCTACCGCCACCGGACGATCGATGACGCGCTGAACTCGACATCAACGATGCAGCGAGGCGAAATGAAGAGCTCATCAAAACGATAACTTCTTCCAGCAGCTACTGGCATCCACCGCCGTATGAGCGAGTATCTGCCCGTTGAGATCGATTCACCCTGCACTTGATCTGACGTCGTTCTCATCGTTCAACTCCCGACAGCATTACTTGTTTCGTATAAATTGTCGCAGGTGTATCCACTGTGTGGACGGATTATAACGTGACGGATATTACTTTCAATGTGTGAGTTATGGCCTTCAATATTAAATCTGTTCGTTACGATCGCCAAGGTTTCCGCTTCAAATAGAGCGCCCTCCATTCCGCATTTTGCACCATGCCGACGCAGCGCTACATCGCGCTGCAGATGCTGCAGGATCGCGCGCTGTGGGAGCTGGGAGGCCCACGTGCTCGTCGTGCCTCCACTACCGAGCTGCGACGACGCAGTTCCACTAACGACGTGTCCCCTCTGCATCACAGTGCGCACTCAGCGAGCATCCACCGACCAGCAGGGACGTTAGTGGAGAGCACCAGCGACATCTCTCTGCTCCTGGCGTACGTCGAAGCCCATAGTCTAGTGGACGAACACGCAGAGCGAACGGACGCTGCAGCTGCCGCCAATTCATCTCCATTGGATGAAGAAGTTGAAATAGTGAAAGTAGAACAAGAAGAGCAGGAAACGACCCGTTGGCAGCTCTCCAAGGAAACTATGTTCATGGTTTCGGCCTTCATCGTGCTCTTTACATCCGGTGGACTCATTCTTGGGTGGGTTTGTTGAGATTATTTGCACTACAGAGTGTTGGTTGCTGATAATTGAGTGTTGACAGATTTGGCCCAGTGTACTCGACATTGGTGAGAGAGAAACAATGGGTGGAGCTGTGTATGCTAGAGGAACAAGAGAATGATAGTGGCGCATTGTGTGCCGCTCAGGAAGTTCGACTGCAGTTCGTCTTCTCGACGGGTTTCCTTTGCCTCAGTGCAGCTAACGCCTTTTTTGGCGTGTTTCTTGACGTGGTGGGACCTCGGATCACCATCATGTTGGGACTCACACTGTCAGCAATGGGGAATTTGGCTCTGGCCTTTGGAGATTCGCACAATGGCAGTGGCGCATGGATTATTACAGGGTATTCACTAGTGGGGGCTGGAGGAATGGGGGCGTACTTGGCAGCGTTCCAGATCTTGCAGCTATATGAAGTGCAGGGCGTTGTATGCAGTACATTGTCCAGTTTATTCAACTGTTCGGGGTATGTGTACATGCTACTGGGGGTGCATGATATCACACGATCAATGTTCTTCCAAGTGTATGGGTAAGGCTGAGAATGCTGTTCTTTCCATGGTTGCTGTGGTAGTATGTTTATTCATGGTGTTCATTGAGGACAGCATTTTAGTGACTGTATGTGCGTTTATCGGCTTCCTACTGTTCCCGACCAACAATATCACGAAGCCTAACGACTTTCTCGCTGTTCCTCTTTGTCATTTTGACATACCTCGCATCAATGTAAGGCTCCTGAGTACGGAGCTCCAGCTATCACTTTTTTTTTTGCTAACGGTATGTGTTGGTTATACATATAGACTCCTATTGGCTTGGTGGGTGGAATGCGTGAAGAGCTTAAACGTCAAGATTTGTGGTTCTTTGCTCTTCTGTTCGGCTGGGTTTCACTCATTTTCGCGTTCGCGGGCGGTGCGATTCCGAGCATGCTGGTCAACCTCGCTGGTGACGACACCAGTGCTGCGTCACTGTACACGAATGTCCTCTATCCCATTCTTGTGAATGGTACCTTTTGGTATTCCCCAATTGTCGGGTACGTTATCGATCACTACGGCTTTAAAGTGATCTTCCTGGCCTGCATCGCTTTGGTGCAGCTTTTCATCGCACTCCTGCTGGTACCCTCACTCCGAGTCCAACTCGTCATGTTCTTCGTCTACGCGATGGCTCAGACGTGTCTATATGCACTGCAATTCGCCTACATCAGTACGTAGATGAATTGTTCTCTCTTTTGTTGGGCTATTTCTCACGATTACCTAATATTCGGTAGTCATGTGCTTTCCAGCTGAGCTATACGGCACTCTCCAAGCCTTCCTCGCCACGGTCTCGTTTTCCTTCGGGCTGCTGAATTATGTCATCAATCCGTGGACTCAAGTGTATTTCGACGGCAACTACACAGTTGCGTTATTGTTTCTGGGGCTGCCAACGTTTGTGTTCTATGGATTCATTCACGTTGTTCAAGGATGCGAACATCACACCATCTCGCAAAAAGCAAACGCTGAGTCCACGAGCCAGGATTCACCCGCTGAAGAGAGCACCAGACTCTTATAGACAGGTACACGCCTATCATTGGATACTGACTGTCACTTTATATATTTTCCTGCCACTCTAGTCTTCAGCAAAGTCTTCGCTGTAGTCAATGGGGCGCACACTATCTTCTCCCTCGTCTGAATACGCTGATGATAGGCCGTTTGACGACTCCGGTTCGAGCAGCTGATCGCCTTCTCTGTACGCTCCATCAGCTGGGATGTTATCGCCATTGCGGGGAGATTCGTGTGCTGACGGGCTATCTGACGTTTCTACTGTGTGTTGAGCTGGATCGTCGGCTGATTCTATAGGCAACAGTTTGTTGACGAACGTGAGGAAGTCCGATTTGCCCCAGCAGCCATCTCCATCCAAGTCGAAGGCAATCAGCAAAACCTGCGTCTCGTATTCGGATAAGACCAATCCGAACGTCTCAAACCCTTGACGTAACTCACGCACCGCTAGAGTTCCATTGCCATCCACATCAAAGCGCGCGAACAAGTTGGTAGCCAAGTCTCTCCTACTGGACTGCTGGTGTTCACCTTGCCAGCATTTGATTACAAGACGAAGAAGCTCTTCAAGATCTCGAGACGGAAATGCCCACGCGCACAATTCGCTGGTCGTGACCCACCCGCTGCTGTCTTTGTCAAGACTCCCCACGACCCGATCAAGCGTCTGCAGGGAGATTGAACGCGCACCGCCCAACTTCGCACGCATCGCGGTCTTAAACTCAGCCACGCGTATTTTCATCTGGGCTGGTTCTCCTTGGCGAGTGGTAGCAGCTTGAAGAGCGCCAGGTAATTCACTGAACCAGAGTACCAGGCGCTCCGGGTCATTGTTTTCCGATTCCCGTAGGGTCTTACGCATAGCATCGATCACCACGGGGTCATCGACACCTTGGGCGATGTCATGCTGGGCAAATGTCAGCCATTCTTTCAGCGTCGTGACACCATTGGCGTTCAAGTCCAGAAGAATCATCATCTCTTGCGCAACAACAGCAGCAGGATGCTGTGGCATGGTTGGAAGACCACACAATTGGGTCAGAACCTCCTCTCCGACGATAGACAAGAGGTCTTGACTACGGAGGAACATTTGCAGCTCCTCTTGGTTGATTTTGCCGCTATTATTGCGGTCGATCTGGTAGAACAAAGCCGTCAAGTTGGACGTCTTGCTCTCGGCCGTCGGTGATGCAAGAGAAGCGAGCTTGTCCAGTAGAACTCGAACTTCCTTAGCCTTTTCTATCGCTAACTGGAGACCCGTTGACCGCTCGGAGTAGGCCAGTATGTCGTCATCAAGAGTTGGTTTAGAGCGTATTCTCAGCCAAATGAGCAGTTCGTCGAATGATATCGACCGATCCCCGTCACGATCCAGTCGAACAACTAGGCGAGCAAGCTGAGCAGGTGTGACACCAAGGCGCAGTCGGTTCATAGCACGCATGAAGTCACGAATTGAGCTTTTCTGCTGATCCTGACGCTTGTACGCTGCTCCAAATACAAGACGGACAGCTGCTTCGACACTTTCAGTCTGAGCTTGAGCTTCTCGAACGCGGATCATGATCGTTTCTCGAATTCGATGTCCCAGAAGACCAAGTTCGTCTTCGTCAGATGACGACGAGTGTGCTAACACAAAGGAAATGAACTCGGCGACTCCCACTTTATCACTGTCACGATCCCCAACAAACAATTCGCGCAACAATGAGATCTTCTCGTTGCTGAGTTGAAGATTGAAGGATGACATGCACGCTACTAGCTCGTCCACGTCAAGTTGTCCATTCCTATCCGCGTCGAATCGAGAGAATACGTGCGCCAGAGCATCTCGGAATGCCTTGTAGTCGGTTGGAGGCTTACCCTGCGCTGCCAAGAATCTTGTTGCTGAATCGTAAACTGCTGCTCTAAACGCCCGAACAGCCATGACCAAGTCTTCTTCTTTGTCTTGGCTCGCGTCGTTGATTGGATTCCCCTCAGCTACGTCGTTCAGCTTGATTTCTTCGATGTTGTCAGCAACGGAGTGCTCAAGGTTCGAAGTGTAGAGATTACCAGGCGACGCCTCAATCTGAGTCATCAACTCGAACCCTGTCATGAACTGGTCGAACGTCATGAGAAGAGGCTTTGATGGTACCCCGCATTTTGTCCGGATTAACGTGATTAGTCTGCAATCACAACAAAGCGTAAGTACCGGTAAGTTTACACAGCTATCGCCGGTTCTATGACGTGACGTACGCTCGGGTGATTTTACGGTCAAGTCGCACCCCGAAGCTTCGAGCACCAAGTCTCAACTCAGCGCGATCGATTACATCGTCTTTCTGGAGATCGATCTCATCAAAGAGTGCTTGGTAGTCGATACCCTTGGATTGATGCGCCAGTACAAACACGCGATGGAGTTTACGCCAAGTGGCTACAAGTGCATCGACGACCTGCTTCGAAGGCGATGCGGATGGTGAGAGGTCATCATCTGCCTCGTTGCTTTTAATGGACTCCGGAGGCGACATGGCACGTGCTGCATCTTCTTCACGTTTCTTCTCCATGTCATCCATCCACTGTCGCATCTCCCGCTCGCTCTGTACCATCAGCAGCATTTCGACCTCCTGTTTCCGAGCTTCAAGCCGACGTGGATACTCCTTCAAGTGTACAAACCGCTTCCACGCAGCCTGAATACACGTTGCCCCACGATTCTCCGCTGCCTGTTGTCGAGCATCAAGGGCACTTCTGATATCGCGGAAGAACGCTTGGATCCGTTGTGCTGCACGCTGCTTCCGATTCTCCGTGAATTTCGAGAAGAGAGCGTCGTATTCCTCTCGTTGTTGTCGTTCCAAGACGCGCTGGATGATTCGTTGCTTCTCTTCCTCGATACGCTGCGCTTTGGAAATCTCCTTTTCCATTCGACGTTCGCGCTCCCGTTCTTCCCACGTTTTGAGGAAAACTGGTTTCTTTGCCGAGATTGATCCTGTGGGGGAAAGCGGTGGACTTACTGGTGGAGACTTAGCACAAGGTGAGTTGGGCTGACTCAGCGGATCACTGGGTACTTTTGTGTCTCCGTTCTTCTCCAGGACACGCTGGTACGTCGTGATTAGAAGATCCAAGTCGTCATGCTCCTTCTGCAAGCGTTTTCGCTGAGCTTTCTACGAAGACACAGCCAAGTTCCAGTCAAGATCGATAAAGATCAGAGGAAGGCATGACGTACCAATGCTTTGTTTTTCCTCGTCAATCGTGCTTTGGTATCGACCAGGGCACGATAGTCATCGCTATACCCTTCTAGCCGCTGGGATAACGTCTCCACACAATGGTCAAGATATTGTGCCGAGAACTGACACAAGTTGAACGCTGTGAGGTGGTCGTTGTGGATTTGTAGACCTTCATCTTCGTCCAGTTCTTTTTCGAGGTCACCGTACAGCACGAGCTCTCGAAAATTGGCAAGACGCTCAATATCTGACTGGATAAAGGTAATGCACTGAGTAAGCATTTATCATTTTCGCAGTGGAGCTCACTTACATGAAAGAAGAGATGTCTGACGCTTGTAGATGCTATCGACGCCCAGTCCACAGGGAGAAATGGCTGCGTGAACGCGAACGCAGGGTCGACAATACTCAAGCCATTATCCTCGTCACTCGCTTTAGCACTCGCATTCTCTCTGTTCTTGCTGATTGCCTCACGAATGTGAAGGACTTTGGGATCTAAAGTGAAGACACATTCAATCTCAAGACTTAAACGTGACGCCAGTCCGTTTGTTTCAGAAGTTTGAAGTGGGAACCACAAGGCACCTGTACTCAACGCATCCCGCGACTTGTTCTCATTCGCCATAGCTTGCTCGTGTAGCTGGTGCAATGATACTGAAGCTTTACCCAGGAAAACGTCAAAGCCATTGTCAAAGTGATTCCACAACTGCAATTCGACCCAGTCCACCACCGAATGGACATTAAACGCTTCGCAATCACCAACGTCCTTCCAAACCACAGTGTACTTCCCGTTCCGTTCACGTTGTCGGCGGCAGACCACGTCGTCTGTATCTCGACTTTCCACTAAAATGGTTCGTGACCTCCTTCTGTCTCCACTCACTCGCCTCGGATCATTGTAAAGAAGTCGGACAAATGGCTGCAGATGAGAAGATGCGAGACCCGTGGCTGCCATTGCTCGCACTTGTGTTGCAGTCCAGGCTCCCTCCATAGACTCCTTCATGCTCTAATGGTGGCCGCCTGAAGTGTCAAGATCCGCAATTGGAAACGTCCGATGGCGTCCGTTCCAATTGCTGGAAGTGGGTGAAACGAACTGGTTGAAAATGGAGAAAGCGCATGGAATGCGTCAACCATCTCCGCCGATGAAACCTGGAGGTCGAAAGCGAGCAGTGCCACCTCGCGGAGCTTTCAGTGCTCAAATGCTTCGACCACCCAGTACACCAACCGACAGTTCATTGCAGGATGGAGAAATGAACGACAATGCTTTCGTTACGTCTCGCAGAGGGTCAAGTGAAGTCGACAACCAAGCTTTGTCACCACCTCCACCGCCGCCTCCCTATCATCCAAGTCCTCGTTTACGTCGATCGATGACAGCTAGAACCTCAATGTCGACGTCACATTCGTCTTCAGGGAAAGGAATACCGACTAGTTCCGCCAAATCGAAGACTGCGAGTTTGAAAGCTCAATCTCCAGTGTCCAATAACGACGAAGCAGGAAAGCAAAATACGGATAAACCAACGCCTCGCGTGCATCCTATCGACACATTGTCCAAGAAACTCCGTCAACAGGCTATGGAGTTGACCCACGTGTATGAAGAGTTAGAGAAACGAAACCTTCAGATTGACGCGTACAAGCAGCAGATTGAAGAACATAAATTGCAACTTGACAAACTTCGAGAGAATCGCAGGAAATCGATCGATGGCAGCTCAAAAACATCAAAAAGTTCAAGGACTGCAGCTCAGGAGCAGCAGAAGCGAGCTACGCAGATGATGATCGGTACACCTTGTACAGGTTCGTCACTTGGACAAAAGCGAGAAGAACTGGACCGCAAACTAAAAGAAGTTGAACACGAGAAGAAGAAATATCATCTTGCAGCCAAACGTATTGAGAAGGCATTGGTGGAGCTGCAAGTGTTTCAAAACGATCGGATGGAAAAGCTATTCCCCTCTGACAAAAACGCAAACCAAGGAGAGGACTGTGACTTCCTAGCAGTTTTGAACGAGCAGCGAGCATATATTCGAGTCCTTGAAGAAGCAGTTCACCTTAAAGCTACAGACTTTGAGATAACCGGTCACGAGGAGCTACTGATTGTCCTTGCTGAGCTGCGTCATACCATCTACGAACAGGAGAAGGATGTCCAAGAAAAGTCAATTCTAGCTGGATCTGTCCAGCAGCAGCTTGAACAGGAGCAACAACAACATGCTGAAACGAGAAATATTCTCGCTTCTACCCTGAATGAACGAGAAGAAATGACAAATCGATTCCACGAACGAGAGTCTGAGTTTCTTGACCAAATTAGTGAAATGGAACAGCAGCTAATAGAAAAAGAACGTCAACTCAATCAGCTTCAAAGCGTTTCGATCGATGCTCAGCGCACAGAAGAAGCTCTACAAAATCGCTTAGTAGCAGCGTTGAAAACACAGAACTTAGCAGAAACCAAGCTTGACGATGCTACACGAAACATCAAAACGCTTCAGGAGCAGCTAAGTGAAATCACATCGAAGTATGAGGAAACACAGCAACAAGTTGCAAATTTGAGAGAGGAATCCTGTAAGAAGCAGAGCCACCTTGATGAAATGAATGCGCTACAAGAAGAACTGCTCGGGTCGGTGGACAAATATGTGGGTAAAGTGAAGAAATCTCGTGACAAAATAGAGCGACTTGAAGCAGAGCTAGAGTCTTGCAAGGAGAAGGAAGCGCTAACTAAAAACGAATTAGAAGAGGCAACACGATCATCGGATGAACAAGCAACTGCCTTAAAGCAGGAGGTTGACGCTGCGGAACAACGTACACAACGCATCCAAGCTCAATGTACGGCTTTAGAGCAGGAGAAGAATCGTTTGGAGGACGCAGTTGCGGAAATACAGCAACAATTGCGAGGACAAGAACAAGAGAGTAATGACCGGCAACAAGAGATCACTGCAAAGGAAGAGAAGTATCATCAAATGGAGGAGACTGTGACAGAGATGGAGGCAGCTCTATCCACTGTATTGATAATGATATCACCCGAGACCTCTCCTGTAGCCGTGATTGAAGATGCAGGCGCAGATGAGCACTCATTTCTACTAGACCAATGTGTGCTCCGGGAGTTAGAAATATGTTGTCAAGCGCTGAACACTCTCGCAACGGATAGTGGATCAAAGCAGAGCACAACGCTATGCTCTTCTTTTACCGAAATTGTAACTCGCGTTGCAACAATTGGAGAACGTGTATTGGAAGAGGTGAATCGTGCTCTTGCATCATGGACGAGAGAACGCATAAATCTCGTTGAGGCGTGTGCGACGCTCGATGCAACAGCAAAAATGTGCCAGAACGAGATGGAGAAGCGTCACGACGAGATTCGAGACTATCGAGAGGAGTTGGCAGAGGTGCGAGAGGAAGAATATAATGCTTATTATTTCATACACTAACAAGTATTAACTTGTGTTGCTAGCATGCCTCGGAAGTTGACGCTTATGTGGTACAATTAGACACACTTCACGAGCAGCTCTGTAGTGCTCAGGCCGAATGTGAAGCTTTCCATGCGCTTGAAGAGCACGCAACGCATCAACACGAAGTTTTACAAGCGAAACAGGCGTTGATCCGCGATCTCTCAGCTGAAAATGATCGACTATCGGATGTAGAGATGGCGTACTCGGTTCAACTAGAAACAATCGCGAGGCTTTCTCAGCGACTGGAAGACCAACAAGCGACGATCGAAGAGCAGAAACGATATGCTCAGCAGTTGGAGCAGACTCTGGAGGATGCAGCCATCTTCGCTGAACAGCAGAACGAATGCAACCAGCAGCTTGAATCGCAGCTTGTAGAGATGGAAACCTCTCAGCGAGTACAAGCCGACCAGGTCAAGACGCTGGCAATACAGAATTCAGCTTTCTGTAGTCGGTTCATGAGGTTAGTCAAGCAGTACATGACCTTCTTAAGACCAGTAGCAGCTACCGATCGCAGTCTCCAGGACCACCTCAATCTATTCGAGACAGAATTCCAGAATGGTGACACCCTCCGATTGCTTCAGCTTTTCCCAGCAGTATTGGAAGAATACATTTCAACTTGCAGCAGGAGCCATGAACGAAATTCACCTATCGACTCCAGAGGATGTAACATCGTGGCCAGTTCCTCCAAAATGAATCCCCATCGAGTATCTCCAGATAAGCATCGGGATAATTTACACGTTGAGATGGCTACACCAAAATGGAAACCACCAACGTCAGATCCACCTTCCTCCAAAACTTCATCTCTCCCGACAACACTGAATGCTGCATTCACTAAAAGCCCGCAATACTCTATTGCAGCAGAGAAGGAGGACGAGAAATTAGCCGAGCAGTTGGAGCTGATCCGAGGTGCCTTCCAAAACTACAAGAACGACGCAGACGGAAAGATAGCAGCATGAAGATCTACAAAAAATATAATTGAAGATTTAGTACTGCTGCAGAGCTTTGGCGGCACAGCTTCAACGTGACAGAGTGAATAAGGCGCTCTATCTGGTGCAGGTTTCGAGTGGGTTGCGCAGATTTAATATCATGGTCATCATGTGGTCGAGACATTTGGATGGTACTTACGTCCGCCAAGTGGATACACCTGCGAGAGTTAATACAGGAGCAGGAGGTTGATTTACTTCGTTTTTTCGGCTTGGATCAGCAGTATCTGTACACGTGGTAACCTTTTCGCCTCCCCTCACTCTATCACTAGTGTCGGCGCCACCAGTTAAACACACCGTTTTGGTTGTAGATAGGATGGTCGTCGTCTTCTATCGATTGACTGCAGCGAAACTGCACATCGCTCTAGCTATCTCGTTCACCAACACACGCCTTTTCGAAACGTACGACTGACTACCGCCACCAACTCGCACCTAAGTGCGACTTGGCGCCACCAGCGGGCGGACCGAGTGGACGACTAGCGGACGCAAGCTTGACGGTCCACATCTACACAAGCCCAACGACAGTCACCGTTCCACCAGCACTGACAGCAGCAGCACCGACCGGCGAGCAAAATGAGTTCTCCGAGCTGCGCACCACGAACTGGTAGTCGTAACCACTGTCAACGTGCGACACCAAGGCACACCAGCACACCAGCACATGATCACCTTACTGGCGCTGATGCTCTCACGACAAACTGCAGCGTCAGCGACCACACCATACGTGAAAAGCCCGAGCCGGCTGACACTGAGTCGCAGAACGACAACATGGATTGTAACGGGCACATATCATCGCTAGACATGAAGCCCAAGAAGTGCGTGAGGTGGTCCACCATAACCGTGCACGAGTTTGGTGTGGGATTGGGCGGCAGCACCGTGTCGAACAAGGGCGGCCCGTCCATCGGTCTCGCAGATCCGCCCGAGTTTACGTGGACAACACGAGTAGGTGAGATGGCCGAGCGCGCTGAGGGTCTACATCGCTTCACGCCCAGCCAACGCATCCGCCTGCTGCAGGCCGCCGGCATCCCGGATGGCATCATCACGCGCCACACTCGGGAGACCAACATCATTTTGGGTTCGCGTCGCCGGTCGAAAACAAGCTGGGAGGACAGCGACTGCGACGAGGCCGAGGAGGAGGAGGGGGATGAAGATGAGGAAGGCTGCAAGGAGCAATCTCGCAAGCGCAGCGCCGACCAGGCCACCCTAGAGCATCCGTGCGCCGTCTATTTGCGGCGACCACGAATGATCCCGGCCAACTACGTGTAGCTGGATCGTGTTGCGAGCCTAACTTCCAGGCCGCAGTGGAATTAAGTTATTCGAAGTGACATATATACGAACCGGAAATGCTGCGACGACGCTGGCGCTCTGCTGGCCGAAAGACAATGTTAATGAGAGGAAGTTCAACAAACAGGGTACGATGATAATGAGCTCGGACAGCAAGTGTATTAGGGCAGATGTCCGTGCTCTCGAGTGTCCAGGCACCGAGGCAAACTTCCGCTACCATTTTTTACTGAAGTCATTAATGTAATGATGCCTTATTCTTCATTCGATCAACGTCGTTGAAGTATTTTGTTGTCGACATCGACGTTGTGCATCGCCTGTCAGGCGTTGCGGACAACCAACAGTTCAAATCAATCAAAAGTCTTGAAAGGACTCAATGTTCACGCACGAGTTTTATGGGGTGATGGAGAAAGCAGGACGTGATGGCCGCCAACAGGCGTGCCCATGCCCTGTATATTCCGGTTGTTATCGTTAAGCAGCTTCAACAGTTTAGCTAGCCCATTGCCAATCACGCTGGGTTTTTCACATCGCCAGCTTGTTATACGGTTCACCAGACTCCAATGGTGAAGCATTGGGCCCACTCAGTCCCCAGCCCAGTGACCAAGCGGTAGGCCTTTTGCGTGCCTGAGTACAGCTCGACCGATACCCTGCTAGCAAAGCGGAAATCCAGGCACACTTCTTCATTTTCGTACTTCAATTCTTCACTCCGAAACGGCTTCAAGCGTTTTCCTCCGCCACATGGTGATGGTCTTGTGAGCTGGCTTTCGCACGCGATGGGAAAAGTAAGAATCTTCATCACACCAACAACGAGCTGTATTTGCATGCAGCACCACATTGATCAAAAGACGCCGCGTAGTTACAATTTCAACGCCACTGGCAGAGAAGCACCGCCTGCACTTCATAATTGACGTGACCTGCGTTACGCGGTGCGTACCCCCTGTGTACCCCCTGCGTACACTGACTTATTCAAGAGAGAGAGAGCGTTTCGCGGTGTGATCAAGCTGCGGGGCTCTCTGCCTGCGCCTCGTGGGCGTTGCTAGTAGCAACGTGCAACCGAGTGACGTGGATACCGCATTTTTATTGCTATAGGTGCCAAAATCAATAGCACTAATAGACGGATGGAGGTATTCATCTACATGGCAGCGTAATGATGAGAATGAGTTAAGAGGCAGAGCACTCGAATACATTTTTTTTTACCTTCACCAGTTCGTTCTAGCTGCGATGTTAGAGACTCTAACTTAGAGCAAAGCGTTTAGATGGCCCTCACTTCAAGTCAAACTGAAACTTCAAGCACATACAGTAGTCAAGTTTGCGCACGTCTCAGGCACAACACTTCAGAATAGGTACATTCGGTGGTACCTCTGTTTTGCAAATCATATTCTGTCCAATGAGTCACTGAAATACGTTGTACAATTTGTACTACATTGCTCCTACTGTACATTACTTGTACTGCATAGATTTTTCTACCGGTAGTCGCATCTTCGTGCACTTCATCAGCGCAAGCGTACTACTTGATTGATCGCTATCTTCGCGTCACTTCTAGAGGTAAAAGTCGTGTACAGCTATTATTACTAGTTTCCAAATTCGCTACACGATTGACGACGATGGGACGCATTTCGTTCGTGTCGGTGCAAATGCAAAATATATTTATATTGTATTTTTACTTGAAATATTTAACTTTGGTTTCAAGTAGTGGGGAAGATTACTCTGACCCGCGCGTAGAATGAAAGTTTGTCTGTAGTGACCCCGACTAAGACTAGAAACGAAGTAACGCGACTCCGATGCACTATACAGCGTCCAGGGTGGCGGACGATAGCGATGTGATGCTAGCTTGTGTGTGTAATTAACCACTCGAAAGGCGTGTGGTGAATGCCGCCCAACAGTATCTCGCCGATCTAACGATTGGACCTCGAAAAAGACAGTTCGTGGAAATGCCCGTTGTCGAGCCAATCAATTCAGTGGACAGAGTGCGTGTATCATATCACCCCATGTTTTCAAAGGTGGCAATATTAATAATGATGTTCGCCTCCGGATTGCCCTGTCCGGATGACTTGCACAGTGTCAGCAGCAGCAAGTCCGCACTCCAAACTGCCTTACAGGGCTTTCATCTGGCTCCACAGAAAAAAAAAAACGATCAGCGAACTTGAACTGGTACAATGTACCCCTTTAGTGTGGCACAGCTCGCACGATGTCAAATAAGATGGCCACAGCGAGGAACAAGTCGGTACAACGAACACTGTTGAGCAAAGCTTTATTAGAGCAATGTTACACTGTTTTCATTCATTGCTGGCACTTGAGGATGCAGTCGTCGCTCGCCTCCAGAATTGCCCGCCAAGAGCCCTAGTTGGTGGCGCCAGGGCGGACGCGAGTAGGGGACGATCCACTCGGTGAACGCAGCTTGCAACAATCGAGTTTTGTGCACAGAAACGGGATGCGTCCGCCCACCGTCCGCCGCACCAGATACAGGTCACATCCCAAAACAAACCAGAGTCAAAACAGCCAGAGACGACGCACAACTCGAAGAGCGGACCCACCACCAAAGCGAAGCACAACAAGCAGCGGCAGCGCCCCCACTACTTCAACTCGCTCTAGATCTACCTCCTCCTCACATCAGAGCCATGGCACCGAAGGACGTAGTCGACGTATACGAAGGGACCGACGTTCCCATGAGCCAGCAGCTCTCATCGCCCTCGACGGCACCAAAGAGCTCCACACCAACTGAGGTCACCTCCTCCTCCACTGCTGCACCTACCTCGCCCGAGAGGCGCAGAAAGCGCCAGCGTAGCCCTTCCGTCGCCAGTGACCGTGACTGCGAGGAGTCTCCTAAGAAGATGAAGAAGCGCCTGCGCTGGTCCACCATCACCATTCACGAGTTTGGCGTCGGACTGGGTGGCAGCTCGGTGCCCGGCAAGGGCGGCCCGTCGATCGGTCTGAGCGATAAGCCCGAGTTCACGTGGACCACGAAGGTAGGCGAGATGGCCGAATGTGTGGAAGGCGTACACCGCTTCACACCTGAGGAGCGCGTGCGATTGCTGCAGAGCGCCGGTGTGAGCGAGGGCATGATCCTGCGGTTCTCGCGGGAAGCCAACATCATCAACTCCTCGCGCCGGAGGACACTCGTAGAGGACATTGCTGAGCGGAAAGAGGCCAAGAAGCAGCGTCGACAGCAGCAGCAACAGTGCAAGGTCGAATCACCTCGCTCCGCCTGCGTGTCTCCATTTCTCAACCGTTCGCACATGATCCCGGTCAACTACGTGTAAGCGAGCAACCCCCCATGTAACCAAGCAAGTCACCAGCGCACTGTGACCAGAGAAAACTATGCCACGGATGCACTCCTGGGATTTTTGCATATAGCTGCTCATCGGACAGGCGTCGATCGAAGAACCGCCTCCCCGCTGTTGCACTGATCGTAGAGGGGAATACCGTAAGTTATTTGATCTTTATTATACGAAGTAGGATATCGCTATCAATACGAGCTACATACATGAATCACTCTGTCACTTG